GCATCTCTGCCACCCATCGGGAAAGGTTCGTGGGGTGCAGGGTGACACCCTGCAAGCCAGATCAGCGCAAGGGCGATTTGGGAACGGCCCCATCCATCACAGGTTCCCCGCAGCAGCCACCCCAAGGCAGTGAGCCCCAATCCACCACTCGCGGGTCCCCCGACACAGCATGGCCACGCAGGGGGGCTGACCAAATCAGAAGCCTCCCCCCCCTGCTAAAAACAGCAGCGATGCTCAAGCTCAGGGAAACCTCTTTTATTAGCTCCGCGTCAGCCAAGTCTCTCCTCCAGCCCCGTCACTTCTTCTTCCCCGCTTTCTCCCTCCGCATGGCCTTCGCCAGCTCCCCGATCAGCCGCCAGTACTCGCCAAATTTCAGCTCCTCATCGCTGTTCACATCCAGTTCGCTCATCTTCTCCTCCAGGGAGGGGACGTCCTGCAGGGAGGACACGGGATGCTCAGCCACATCCCGGTCCCCAGTAAGCGGGATGGGGATGGGGTAGGGAGCAGGGGCTGCAGCTTGCTCTTGCTTACAAATCCCGGGGTACCGGGAGCAGCCCCCTCCCCAGCTCAGGGGGACCCACGGGGATCCAGCCACCCCCCCTCCCGAGCTGCCCCATACATGCCGCCCCTTGCCTCACCTTCATCAGGTTGGGCAGCTGGAGCTGGACCAGCTCCTTGAACTCGCCGGCCGTCAGCGTGCCCTTCTTGCCCTCCTTCCCCGCGTAGGTGAAGAAGACGGTGACGATCTTCTCGATGGCCGTCTCCAGCTCGGTCAGCTCACCCGTGGCCATGGTGCCGGGGCACGGCAGCAGCCCCGGGGCTGCAGGGAGAGGAGCTGAGACGGGGTCAGAGGCGGAGGGGTGTCCCGGGGAGGTGATGCCTGGGGTGCGTCAGAAGAAGGGGACCCTCTCCCCTTCCCCAGCCCAGGGTGCGGCGAGTCTGCAAGGTCTCAGCTCAGCTCTGCAGGGCTGAGCAGGGTCCCAGGGCTGGGGGCTGTGCCTGTGCCCTGCTCCTCCCGAGGGACCAAGCGCTTTGGCCAGGCTGGGGAGGGGGAGCAGAGCCCTTTGGTGATGCCGCTGCCATCCGGCGCAACGTGGCACTAACACCACAGAGGCAGCTGGGTTGGGGGGGACACCGGGAAAGGGATGGGGGTACAGCAGGGATTCCCAGCGCTACTCTCATCCCGCGAGCGCTGGAGACATGGTGGCTGGGGGGGGGGTGGGCAGCGATTCCCTACTTACCCCCCTCGCCTGCGGGCAGAGAGCTGCGGGCAGATCGCGGACCCCCAGGAGGTTTTATACCCTGCGAGGTAGGAAGGGAGAGCGCAGCACTTTGTCCCCCCTGCCACGGTGTTGGGGGGTTTCCTGTTGTAACCGGACGGACGCACAGACGTCCTCCTCTCCTCCCTCCCCGCTCCGGCAGCGGACCAAATTCACCACTCGGCCCCGCTGGTGTGAACCTAACCCACTCTCCGCAGCACTGCCTGAGCTCTGCTGCTGTGGGGATCCTCCGGTGGGGAGCAGGATGGGACAACGGGGCAGAGGGGAGGGATGCGGGAGGACAGTGGGTTTGTTCCAGCATCCACTGGGCTGAAGCATCACACGGAGTTCAGGCATCACCCAGACCTTTCCAGGGCTGCAGGGCAGGTCTGAACCCCAACTCCATCCCCACAGGGCTGGGGGTGCACCGGGGATCAGGACGTGGTCCCCAGCACCCCGTTTACATCTCACCGTGCCCCGAGACGGTGGCTCATCCCGGTCTGCAATCCAGCAGCGCCGCAGACCCAGGGCCAGGCTCGACCCGCACCAAGTGAGAGTTGTGACTCAGCCACCCGCTGACATCATCCCTATTAATAGTGGGCTTTGTAAAAATTAATTAATCCAAATTAATTAGGGGGTTGGAACTGCCCGAGCATTCCCCTTTAATCATCATGTATTTATAACATGGCAGCCCTTGCACGTTTCCACCTGGGAGATGGAACAGCTCTGCGCCACGGCATCGCCGTTCCCACGGGGCCCCCAAGCCGCATCCCGCGCCCCGGCCCCAAACAAACCCCACGTGGTGCCCACGCCGCAGCCCTGGGGCGAGGCGGTGGGGATGCCGGGGACGATGGTGCAAGACGGGGGTGATGTCGGGGACTGTCTCTGCCCGGAGCATGGCAGGGACATCCCTGATTGCCAGCCACCCCATCCCCGCATGCCATAGATGCTGTGTCCCTACGGCAGCGTGACACAGCCAGGGAGCGAGGCCGGGGCAAACAGCCCCCTCCCGGCACAGCACATGGGAGTGGGGTCCCGGGGAGCCCAGCACAGCTGGGAAATCCCCCACCAACAGTGTTTTGGGGACCCAGAGCAGGGAGGTCCCCGGTGCAATGCCATCGTCACCAGCCCGGTTTCTGCTGAGCCCTGACGCACTCACTCCACCTCTCCACAAGGATGGGGAGGCTCTGGCCAGCACCAGGCAGCCTGGTCCCCACCCCACACCCGTCACACCAGCTCACAAGGGAGGAATTGGCTTCCTTCAGCCCCATCCGGCCCGTCCCCCTTCCTGGGATGACGGGGGGGGACAGAGACGGGACTTCCGCCGAGCCCCACGTCAGGGGACCGAGATGGTCTCTTGGGAAACCACTGGGGTGAGTCAGATTTGGGGTGAATCATCGGCCCCAAGAGCCAGGCGGACCAATGACTCGCCATCCCTGGAATTCGGGGTGCTGGGATGGGGCGAGGAGGCAGCAGGCGCTGCAGCAGCCCCACAACAGGATGCAGCCAAATCACAGGTGGTGACAGAAACGGCACCCCGCAGTTGAGCCCGGGATCCCCACTCGGGGCTGTCCCCATGGGCAGGTAGCAGTGACCTGGCCTCGGGGACCACAACACTACTGGGAGGGGGCAGAGCACCGCAGGACCCCGTGTGCCAGGGCGAGAGCTCGAGGTTGGGGTGCAGATGCATCCCAGGGGGTTGGTGCCCACTCCACCGTGTCCTGGTCCTGGTGTTGTCCCCAACGTGTCCTGGTTGGGGGACACCAACCAGGGATGGTCACTGTGGCTACCGCGGCTGCCAGCCCAGCAGTGGTCCACATCAGCCCACCGCACCTATCAGGGCTCGTTGGAGGGGAACATGATTACTTTAGGCTGCAAAACCAGGTGCCCGGTGCCCAGTGCCATCGCGATGCCCCTGGCCCTGGCACGGCAGGTGCCCGGCAGCTCCCCCCTGCTCCAAACCCCAGGGATGGAAAAGCCTCTTCCACGCTCCAGTGATGGGACGGAGAGACAAGATTGGCCCAGCCCCGGCACCAGCAACTGGAGCAACTGGTTTAGCTGGGTCAAAGTGGAGCATGGGGAGTCGCAGCGGCTGAAACCTGTTCCAAGATGTGTGTAAACCTCCTGGCATGTCCCTCACTGCTCCCGGTTTGGCAAGAGCTTGTCCTGGGGATGTGCCAGCGTGGACATGCCGGGTGTGCTCTCCCCACGGCCGGCACCGCAGCGGCAGGGACCGCGGCCATGGCACCCAGGGCTGACCACTTCGGTGCCCAGGCGATGCCCCCGCCGGGTGCGGGGTT